CCCTCTCTCTCTCTTTCAACTCGGAGGACCCTCTTCTGCCGCTAAGCAGCACCTGGGATTTTGCTCCTCAGCCTTCCCTGTCTCTGGGACTTGGTCGTCCCAGGCTCGCCAGGCCAAGGGATCCACTCGCTGCAAATCAGCCCCTCGGCGACCCAGGCCCTCGATTACCCCATCATTCCTCGCCGCCGCCGTCCTCGGTCTCTTCATATACGGCCACCTCCCGTGAACGGCGCTAAGATCGTACCTCTCTCGTCATAACCTTCATCGACGTACCCCCTCCTTAACCCTCTCCGTCGTCCCGTCCATTGTCGTCGTCTTCGTCCGAGACGCGGCATCACCGGCACACGCACGACACCCTGAACTTGAAGAAAGGGAACTCCCAGTCTTGCGCTGCTGCAGAGGCGTACATTACTTGGTACATCAGATTTCACTCTTTGCAGCTGCGACACCATCGTTTACTCTCCGCCCCCGTCTTTTTGGAGAACTACCTACCACATCCGATCCTCACGCTAGACCTGCTCTCGGACTGAAGCCCAGTCCATCCACTTCTTTAGCGCACTATTTTAGTGCGCGAGTTCCCCAGGACGCCGTCGACTTTTCGCTCAACCAAGACGAGCCACCAACCCTTCCGCGATCTGGCGAACAGGCAGCGCTACCCTTGCCACTCCAGAGATCTTCGCTCAGGGCCGTGGCCTAGTCGCCTGTTGTCATCGACGCCCATTTTAACCATAATCCCGACTCGCTGGGTGGCCCGCGCTATCTTGGCCGCCATCTTTATACACCGTCGCGCCGCCTCACAAGTCTCACTTGCGGTGCACACCATCCTCCTCCGTCTCTTGACCGTGCCTTCACTTCAACCCAACCTCTCTCTCTCTCTCTCTCTCTACCATTACTACCTTGCCCTCCTTCCACTCCTACCTTTTTACGTTGAACGCCATCCATCCCCCACACCCGGCCCCCTACCACCGACCTTCAGAGGATCTCCCACAGCTGGCCCCAGAACTAAAAAGGATCGCCGCCAGCTACCTCGCGACCCTCAACTGTATCGTTGCGCCGTAGTATGTACCTGGTCCCCACGCAGCCTCATCACTTCGTTGGCAACCACGCACCGCTCCTTGCATCCTCCTCCCCTGTCTCCTCGCCCGGCTCTTGTCACGGGAACCGCCCAGAAGCGACCTCCAGCGCGCTTCTGTCCACGCTCACCACGCTCAACACCTCTATGGAACGCAGTGCTGCCGAGTACTCGCAGTCAGGTTTGCCTTCGCCTTACCCAAGCAACTGCGGCGACACCCGTTCTGAAGGATCATCTGCAGACCACTCGTCTGCTGCCCACTACTCTTCGCAACAGGAGGTTCGACCCAGCAACTACTCCACCTCGGCCACTCCCACCTCGGAGTACAGCGTCTACCCGCCTTCTGCGCGGTCAGGATCCTTCCCTGAGCATATCCACAGACCATACCATCCAGCTAGCAACCCAAGCGGTGGCAGCGGAGGCATGGCGCAACAAGCAAGCAGTCCGTCTTTGCCCCAGCAAGATGGACGAAACCATCAACCCAACCAGCATCCCAAGTCTGACAACGATGTACCTATAGATCCCTCCATCGCGGGACCCAGTCCTACCTACGCTTACGGACAGCAATCGCCGTACGGCCCGCCGCCCGGCGACATGCAGGCATACCAACATGCCTATCCTCAGCCCCGTCCCGACTGGACGGGATACGGCCAGCACAGCGCTGGCTGACGCCCGC